GGGTGGGTATGGGTACGAGGTGGTTTGAGCATGAACAGGTATGAATAGGATCGCGTCTGCGTGATGTTTTTTGGAGAAGCTCGACAGGGTGCGAGTGAGTAGGGGTGTGAGTGAGTCAGGCTATGAGTGGATCCGATTACGAGTTGTGAGCCATGATGTGGTCTGATCATGAGTGGGTCTGAGTACGAGTGAGTATGCTCGTGAGTGCGTCTCGACATGCACACGACTGAATCAAAGAACGTCATTTTGGGAGAGTGCTGCGCACGATGCTCATGGCTGGCTGAACGCTGAAGTGTGGCTCCAGCGAATTAGGCCGGCCGGCTGACACTGATATCAATACCATCTTGACCTCCCATGTTTTCCAGTCGCAATCTTGATCTATGGTTCCCTCTTGTGCGACCCGCTTGTGGACGACACCAGATCTTTCGACCATGGAGAAGGGTGGGGATAGAAAAGGCCGAATCGATCACGGGTTCCACCACCAATGAAAAGAAGTTCAATATTGAAGGAGGGAAAGAGGGTTACTTACCGGGAGACATGGACGTAGAAGAGGCACTTGAGGAGGAGGAGGAGGAGGAGGACAAGAAGTACACAATGAGGTGGATGATGGAGATTATGGCATGCATCAGGAAGGACATGCAGGATGCTATGAATTATGCGGAAAAAGGCTAAGAAGATCGTTCGTCAGGCAAATGTGACGGCGACCATCGCCGAACAAGTGGTGGTGACGATGTGGGAGGAGACGACACATGCATTGAACAAGCGCAAGCCAGTTAGCGAGACCAGGAAGAAAGACATTGAGGAAATGAATATGGGAACTAACATGTACAACAATCGTAGTGAGGTGAGGGAGGGCCTGAGGGCACCGCGGCGGAGTTGTCGGAGGATGATGTGCGTGCCAGACAGGTCATCGCTTTTGGCTTCAAGGAAGAACTCGCTGCGGAAAAAGTGATCGAATGGCTAGGCATCTTTAAACATGGACCGATTCAAAAAATATGTAGCAACAATACTGGCCCCAACTAAATTCGGAGTGGTTGAGTTCCCATGCGTCCAAAATAATAAACATATAGAGGATAACTTTGCCGTTGACGAGAATGTTTTTGACGGGTGCTCGTCCAGAACAGCCTTTCCAAGGCTGCGAAGGAACGAGACAAACGGATGGCGAGCACAAAATCCCATTGCGGCCTCTATTCATCAGGCCACAGTGGTCAGGATGTGAAGATACGATGGACAAGGACATGGTCATGGTAAGGGACGGTATGGGGTCGGAAAGGACTGTCGCACATACGAGTGCGACAGGAAAAGCAGTGGAGAAGAAGGTGGGGGAGTCTGCGGGCAAGTGGCGCGACAGATTCCTGGACTTTGCCGCGGGCAGCGAGTCGGCGTGGAGAGCGCCGCGGGCAGGCCTGGCTGGCTTCAAATACCAGTCGGAGGTTGGCATCAAAACTAACAGTTTCACATGTGGGCGTAGGGGGTGAGTGCACCACTCGGGAACCATCGCCTCGTCCTACGAGATGGGGCTCCCAAACTTGATGCTGGAACCGGGGGAAGACAATAGGGCGCAGTTTGTACCGCGGTTTTTCTCCAAATAGGCTTGCCCTATAGGAGTTCTAACTCATTCTCTACGAATCGGTCCGTTGCCCCCCTAATTCCTATGCCCCCTACTTCCTCTGGCTATGCCTATGCTTATGCCTAGGCCTCCCCCTAACTCCTATGCCTATGCCGATGCCGATGCCTATGCCTATGCCTATGCCTATGCACCACCTCTGAACGCTCCTATGCCTATGCCTATGCCTGTGCCGATGCGCCACCTCTGAGCGCTCCTCCGCCTATGCTTATGCTTGCTTGCTTGCTTGCTTGCTTGCTTACTTGTTGAGTTGCGGAGCCCAAGCGTGCTTGATTTCTCTGATTCTTTGATTTGAGTCATTTAATCCATGTGGAGTCAACGCTGGCTGATATTGGATGCCTTATCATATCAGACTGAGGAGGCTCCGAGTTTCTGCGATCCATCTCGCAAGTGGACAAGTCAATTGGGGGAAGTCGGGGGGCGCATCAAAATTTGGATGGCGATTGCCCCAGTAGCTGCGCAGACGCCTGCCTCGAGAAACTTTCGCCGACGGCCAGTGCAGTCATTTCGGCGACAGGCTCAAAGTTCACAGACGTTGTTAACCGTGTGTTCGTGATATTCCACGCGAAGAAGCGCGCGCGTTGCAAATTGTGTTGGGGGAGGAAGAGTTGTTCGAGGAGTTGCAGCTTTTGGGGCTGCGTGCTGTACTGTTGAAAGAAACTTGGCGTGCGCAGCGACGTGAGAAGCGCGCGAGAGCGAGATGGGCACGTGTTTCGCGGCTCCGGGGGCCTCGAAGGAGCAAGTGGGACAGGGGTTTCATTGCGCGGGCGTCTCCCTTTCCTCTCTCCTCCCTTCTTCCAGAATTCATCCATCTTGGAGGCCAGAGTGTCATAACCTTGTACATATGCATCTGAAATGTATGCCGCATGCTGGAGATGCGGTCGCAGACGTGGAGGGCATTTGTTTTCATGTTCGCCGCTTGTTACGAGCAGTGGTATCTGCGTCTGGATGATTGCCGCTGGGCCCTCAGAGCGATGGAGACGATGGGGGGGCCGTTTGGCGATGCGGCGTGGAATGCGAATGCGAAGCGGGGAAGTAGCTGGTTGGGTGAACGACGCCGCAACTGTTGGTTTTGACCGACGCGATGTTCGAGGCGTGTTTTGGCGAACAGTGAAAGTGTCAAATCGACGGGGTAAAACGACAGTTGGATTTTCGGTTTGTTTGTTTGCGGCGGGAACGCGCTAGCGTCGGCGCGGGGGCGAGCGACGCCACTATTGGTCAAGACCACCGCGCCCTCGAGGTCGTTGTCAAGTGGGGGTTTTAGCAAACTGGTACACCCGACAAAAAACCCAAACCTCAGATACCGAACTATCCGCGATGTTGCCCTTCAGAGAAGAGGGAATAGTGGGGTCAATTCGATGCACAGTCGGAGTCGGTGTCTTGGATCGTAGGGGATGACGCGATGCTGGCGGACATTGAGAAGCGGTGCCACGACATTTTGTGTATTGTATTCGTGGTCCCAAAGGGTTGCGACGAGAAGGAGACGTTCGATGAGCAGAAATGGAGGACTGCGAGGGACCGGTTGCGAAAGACGAGCGCGTGTAGACGGTCGATGAGACATGGTGGTAACAAAGAGGACGTAGCAATTGCTAGTGGGGCCATCGGGGAAGATATTCACGCCGTGGCCAGAACGCGGAACAGACATTGTAGGAGTAAAGTACCAGGCGCGCTTCAATATTTGCAAGAACCGCTGGTGTGCGCAAAGGATGGCAAGAACATGCGCGTGCCTTCTATCTTGAGCGCAGATAGCAGCGCACGTTTCGCGCGACATACATTGCTGATGTATTTGCTGCGTTTTCGAGTGTTTGTATGATGGTGACAGTGTGGGCTTGCAGAGACACGGGCGATGATCGCGCCGTGGCGGTCTCTCTGGAGAGGGTGCGAGGTGGCAACGTTGCCGACGAGAATGGGGTGGTGGTATCATGCTTGAACATCGGTAACGATTCGTGGATGAAAACTATTGCGGCTTCGCAGGCTCGCTGAACTGGCCGGCAAATAGGTTGGGCTGCGGCCGATCTTTTTCAAGCGGGATAACTTTCAAGACATGGTGGCGAACGTCTGCCAGCAAATCACAAGCCTACGTTTGATATCCCAATGTGCGAACTTTTTCAGCTGAGTCGTGTGCAGAATAATCGAATAAACACTTCTTCAATTGGCTCGCGCCAGCCCGTCGACCCCTCGCGGGGTAGAGGCGGCCGCGGTTTTTCGGCAGGCCATGCTGGAGCTGGAGTGGCTGCTTTTCTCGCGCCCGCGAAGTTGGATGGGGAAGAACAATGGGGGTGGGGGCGAAGAGGGGGGCGAGGAAGACGAGGGCGAGGGCGAGGGATGGGGGGGGAGAGGGGGGGGGAGAAGGAGGAGGAGGATGAGGCGGAGGAGGAGGAGGGTGAGGGTGAGGAGGAAGAGGGGCGGATGTGGGAAAGAGGATGGCGGGGGGGGGATGGGCGGAATTTTGGGGTGCAGTGTTTTTTTTTGGGTTCCCTGCGGGGTTGCTTGGGGTCTTCTGGGGGGCCTCCGGTGGTGGCTCTGGGGAGCTTTCTGTCTGCCCCCGTTGGTTTCGCGGGGCGGGCGTGGAGCTTCGCGGGCGAGCGAGCCTCCAGGACGCGTGCGAAAGTGTTTCGGAAAGACTTGCCATAAGCCACTTATGCTGGAATTGGGGGCCTTTGGTGGCTTTTTGGGGGGCCTCTGGGGGGCCTTTTTGGGCGCCTCTTGGGGGCGCCTCCGGGGTCCCTGGGGGGTTGCTCGAAATTTGAATCTGTGTTGCTCCTCTTGGGCTTTTTCTGGGGCCGTCGTGGGCTGTCTTAAGGGCCTTCTCGGGCATTGTCGCTGGCCGTTCTTGGGTGATCTTTGGGGCCTCTCGGGCCGCGTTGGACGCTGCGCATGCGACGAAGGCGCGTCTGTCGAACGTATGCGTTTTCCCCGGGGAATGAGGCGACTTCTGCGTCGTGTGGGCTCGTCAACGGCCGTAGACGGAGCAGTATTGCGCCGTCCTGAGGGCATCGTGGGCTGTTTTGACGCCGCGTTGGGCCGCGTCGAGGTTGCCCTGGGCCGTCTCGGCGCTCGTTTGGATTATTTTGGCGTTCTGCTTGGGCCCTCCTGGGCCGTCCTGGGGCACCCTGGGGGTTCCAGAGTGCCCCCGGGGTGCGTTGGCGAGATTGCCGCCCCCCTCCTTTCCTTAGACGGGATTTTGAACGCCCGATGGGGGCGACGCGGGGGACAGCCACGTGTTTCACTCTCCGGCGATTATGTTGGAATCTTGCAATAATTTTGTATGCAGAATCAGTTTCAAGAGAGGACAGGTGGGCGGGCGTTTACCAGCAAATCGCAGGCTTGATTGTATTACCCCAGTGACGTACGCACTTTTCAGTCGATTGTTGCGCGGGGCAACCAAGGACATACCTATGCGTGAACAGCCGCGTGGCCAAACTGCATTCAGACTGGGGTTCGGTTGCGACGACCATTTATCTTAAAGCTTACCGCCTCTGCCGCCGACCCTTGAAATCGCCTTGAAGGTAGGTTGGTTTTGTTTTGGCGGTTCATCGTGCGGTGGTAGCGATTGCGTTGATTGGGGAAGTGCGCCAGTGGATCTCCGTGAATACATTAGAGGGGGGGTGCAGAACCCTCCCCCCTCCCCCCCAGTCAAGGGGGGGGGTCCAGAACCCATCCCCCCCTTTCCCTTCTTTAGGGGGGGGGGGTCCGAATTCCCCCCCCCCCCCCCTTCCCCCTTGAGGGAGGGGGGGGGTGGGGGTCCGGACCCCGCCCCCTTCCTTTTTTGTCGCTGGAAAGGGGGGGGGGTCGCCCCCCCCCCCATCCCCTCCTTTGCGCCGGAAAGGGGGCTGGAGAGGGGGGGTCTCTCTCGCTTTCGGCGCCGGAGAAGGTGTGTAGGGAGTGCGGAGTTGGGAGTGGTGAGTGGTGAGTAGTGACTAGTGAGTTAGTGCGTAGTGAGTAGTGAGTATTGGGTAGTGAGTAGAAGGTAGTGAGTGGCGAGTAGGGAGTAGGGAGTAGGGAGTGGGGGTAGTGAGTAGTGAATAGTGAGTAGTGTGTACTGATAAGTGAGTAGTGAGTGGCGAGTCGTGAGTAGTCAGTAGTGAGTAGCGAGTAGCGAGTAGTGAGTACTGAGTAGGGAGTAGGGAGTAATGAGTAGTGGGAAGTGAGTAGTGGGTAGTGAGTAGTGGGTGGCGATTAGCGATTAGTGATTAGTGAGCAGTGAGTAGTGGGTAGTGCGTAGTGCGTAGTGAGTAGTGAGTAGTGAGTAGTGAGCAGTGAGTAGTGATAGTTAGTAGTGAGTAGTGAGTGGTGAGTAGCGAGTAGTGAGTAGTGAGTAGTGAGTAGCGGGGGGTGAGTACTGAGTAGTACGTAGTGCGTAGTGAGTAGTGAGTAATGAGTAGTAATGAGTAGAGAGTAATGGGTAGTGGCAGTGGGTAGTAATTAGTGAGTAGCGAGTAGGGAGTAGCGAGTAGTGAGTAGTGAAGAGCGAGTGGGGCGTAGTGAGTAGTAAGTAGTGAGTAGAGAGTAGTCAGTAGTGAATAGTGGGTAGTGATTAGTGAGTAACGAGTAGGGAGTAGCGACTAGTGAGTAGTGAGTAGGGAGTAGGGAGTAGTGAGCAGTGAGTAGTGAGAAGTGGGTAGCGAATAGTGGGGAGTGAGTAGCGATTAGTGAGTAGTGAGTAGTGGGTAGGCAGTTGTGACAAGTGACTGGTGACTAGTGAGTTGTGACTAGTGACTAGAGTGTAGTGACTAGTGAGTAGGGAGTAGTGAGTAATGAGTAGTGAGTAGCGGGGAGTGATGAGTGAGTATTGAGTAGCGAGTATGGGTGTAGCGAGGAGTGAGTTCTGAGTACTGTAGTCAGTACTGTGTAGGAAGTAGTGAGTAGCGAATAGTGGGTAGTGAGTAGTGATTTGTGGGCAATGAGTAGTGAGTATCGAGTGGTGAGTAGTGGGTAGTGGATAGTGGGTAATGAGTAGTGTTTTGTGAGTAGTGAGTAGGGAGTAGTGAGTAGTGCCTCCTGAGTATTGAGTAGTGGGTAGTGAGGAGTGAGTTGTGAGTAGTGAGTAGGGAGGAGGGAGTAGTGAGTAGGGAGTAGTGAGTAGCGAGTTGTGGTTGGTGGGTAATGAGTAGTGGATAGTGAGTAGTGAGTCGTGAGTGGTGAGTGGGTGGTAGTGAGAAGTGAGTAGCGAATAGCGAGTAGACAGTAGTGGGTAGTGAGTAATGAGCAGTGAGTACTCTTTGGGGCTGGGGTTAGTGGTTCGGGTTCGGATGAGGGGTTTGGGTTGGGTGAGGATTAAGGGTGGGGGCGGCGGGGGTCGGGTTCCGGAGTCGGGGGGCGGCGTGGCGAAAAGGGGGGGGGGGGGGGAGGGGCGGCCAAAGAGGGCAAATCGGGGGGGGGGGGGTCGGACCCCCTCCTCCCTCCTTTTGAAAGGGGGGAGGGGGGGGGGGGGGGTCCTCGACGACGGATCGAGGAAAGGGTGTGGGGGGGGTCCATACGACGGATCGGGGGAGGGGGGAAGGGGGGCAGGGGGGGGAGGGGGTTCCCCGACGACGGATCGAGGAAAAGGCCCCCCCCGCCTTGGGGTTATCCAGCGGCGCACCCTCGTTGATTGGTTTTGCCCGTGCATGGTGTTCCATCGCTGCGCCATTTTTTGCGCTGGGTATTTCTTATTATTTTTGCCCGCTGCGTTTTGCGCAGTTTGCCTGGGGAGGTCTGCTATTTTCCCCAGGGTCGCCATTTCTTTTTCAATCAGTGGAAATCTCTTGGGGCGCAAAGCTCAGGAGTCACGCGGGGGGGCCCGAGAGGTGCATGAATTTTGGACCTGGGCCATTTGCTCAAGCACGTAGGAGTGAGGATGGAGATCTCCAAGGGACTCGATGATGTCCCAACTCGTGCCTCGCGGCGCGGTGGCGGATCATTCTCATCTTTGTCACCTTTGATGCTTATGCGATCGCCATTCGGGTTAGAAGGGGGTTCTGGGGGAGGGACCGACGCCGCGCTTAGTCGATGTCTCAATCGATCCCACGATCGAGTTCTTTCGAAAGATGCCAATACTGATTGCATCTTCAATCGCACGATCGATCTTCATATCGATCGATGTCACTATCGAGCTCACTGTCGATTGTACGAACGCTCAAAGTGGATCGATTTCACGAGACATTCCACAGTCGAGCGCACTGTACGTTTCACGATCTTTTTTGCCATCGACCGTACCGACGTCCGGACTAATGATTCCATTATACATGTCATGATCGGTCGCATTCTCGATCTCACTATAGATCTGAATATTCAGTTCGCTATCGCTTTCACTATCGATTCACCATCGTTTGTCTTACCGCTGGCATTATTGGTCTCACTATTGCTCTCTTTATCGATGCCACTATCGATTTCACTAGCGATCACACCGTCGATTTGAACCCACCTCGAGGCACCATTGGACACCGACGGGACACTAGCGGGGCACCGACGGTACACCGACGGGCTACAATGGCGGGACACCCCCGGCCGTTACTCGCCAGACGGCGGGGCCGACTCTTGTCCCGGCGGTTTCCAAGCAAGCGAGGGTTCATTGTTTCCGCTCGATATCAGAAGAGGCGGAGTCATATGAGGAGTCGGCGTCATCCCCTTGGAAACCGTGCGACTGCATTGCTCCGGCCCGCGGCCATTTTGGCTCGAGGGTGCCCCGGCCCCCCTCGACGCCGCCGCCGTCGGGGCCCGACGGCCGGCCGCCGCTGTGGTGGCGCTCCCGGGCGCTGGGTCTTCCGGGCGCCGTCGTTCAATTCTTCCAGGCCCGTGCGGGGGTCGCGGCTGCCCTCGCCACGGGGCTTCCCGTGGGGGGCTGACCGCTGATGGCCGGTGCGGCATCTGAAAGAAAAGCCCTTTCGCAAAACCTGGTCAGCTGCTTCGACTCCGACTTTCCGAAAAATGCCTTTGTCGTGTGTTCGTTCAAAGTGGAAGTTGGGCTTCGTTTGCCCCCCTGCACCCCATGGTGAAAAAGGCCAAATCCTGGCCAGATGGCCGCGTGCTGCCCCCTGTCGCCCACTCCCGCCCACGGACAAGGAAGGGCGCATCATCTTCAGGTGTCGCGAGGCCCCCGGCGTCAGGTGGACGTGCATGGGCGACGACAGCGGCGGTGGGCACTGGTGCTGGCTATGCGACGAGTGCGGCAAAGCAGTTCACGAACCTGGGCACTTCACGTCAACCGAGCACATGGGGCATCGCAAGCAGACCCATCTCGCCGGGCACATGGACGGCGACCCACCCCGCGGGCTACCTGACCCCCAAAGTTTATAAAA